TTTGGTCGCCGATGAAGAACTCGGCGAACATACGGCAAAATTCACGTGGGGTCTAGAATCTTCTTGCTTCGATATCGTGCACACGAGTGCACGATATCACTTTTCGATATTTTGCTCGAGGATTCTTCGTGTCGTGTCGTTATTGAGCATCGTCATCGAGTGTGACGCGATGCGATACGATCCAACGAATTATTTTATTGCATATTGTCATTCGACATATAGAGGGTATAATCGTGAGATTTCAACTTTCTTCTGTGATTGAAATATGAATTATCTAAATAATAGGGTGCAGTGCAATTTATAATTTTGTTCGGTATTGTCATTGCGAATTCGTATTTAAATAGGTAATGCGACACGATGATATATGAGAAAGAGTCGAATTTATTTTGCGATAGAAATAAATATAACTGGATGATATTTTGCAATTATTTTAAATGATTTTGTTTTGTAACAATATTAAGATAGATATTATTCTAATAACAGAGAAATATAATATATTTTTTTCGAAGATTAATTTAGTTAGATTTTATTATTTTGATTTGAAAAATTGAGAAATTGATTTAACTTTTGATCTTTAATAAATAAAATTTTATTATGTTGCAAAATTTTTTGTGATACTCAATGATGATATGACATTAAATTTGTTTTCGAGAAATTTGTCTCTATAAAAAAATATTGGGTTTTTATTTATCGGCCTTTCAACATTTTCGCTGCTTATTCCTCGATTCGAGTTATTTTATGATAGGTTTTATGAAATTATGGAAATTAGATGTTAAAATGGATAGTATAAATTAGATATAGATTAAATGAGGAAATTTTTTTTAAACTTTTAAATTATGGAAAGATATTTTATAATAATTTATAGAATTTTGCAGAATGAAAATAAAACTCAAGAAATATCTATTTCTCTCTATTATTTATAATTAGTGCTAACTGGAAAATTTATGTAATTGCTCACTTTTCCTGATATTTAAATAAAATAAATTTAATGCTATAATAATACAATTCAAACTTTAACTATATCTCTTTTTTTAATTTCTTTGATGAAATTTAGTAATAACAAATATAATGAAAAATTCAAATTAGCAATGAACGTGTTAAATTAAAAATTGATTTTAAAATAAAGAACGATAATAATACATTTTTACTAAATCAACGACTATTTATTAAATATTGATACAATTAAATAATAAATGTTTTCTTAAACAATCAAATACAATTTCTAAAAATATAAATTTATCTTATAAAGCTTACAAAATACACAAAAATTCTATAATAATATTTAAATCTTAAACTTTAAAAATGATAACATACAGTTAAAATTAAATTCATTTGGCAACAAATCCTGTTACACGAATATTAAAGAATTAAACCATAATTTAAATGCCAATAATATAATAAATATATAACTTATATAAAAATTTATTATACACGAATATAATTAATCTCACTCTTCAAATTTCTTCGCTAAATAAAAATCTTAAAAAAAAATAAATCATAGCACGAGTTCTCATCTTCTCTAAATTCTTTAAAAAAAAAAAAAGAACAAACGAAATTCTACGATTCGTACAAACAATTTCATAATTTCTTCTCGGTCAAAGAATAAAGACTATCCCCGTCTCGAAATTATTCTTAAAGAAAGATTAGAAGTGGAGCAGACCCGTAACTCCCCATGATCAACGCGCGTGACCGGAAACAAAGAAGATTCCCTCGCGTTCCATTGCGTGAACGAGGCCTGCATCCAGCGCACGATGCTCCGTGTACGGAACGATGGTATTCTCGTGTTGCCCAGCGCGTTTCAGCCTCGCGAGGAGGATCATCGTCATATTACTTGACCGGTCCTCGCACGACACCGTTACGAACCGACGACCTGATGCAAAATTAGACCGTGAATCCGGTCTGCACGGCCGTTTGATTAATCGCGGGGAGGGTAGGGACGGGTCCCTCGTAATGAATCCGCCATCTTCTTCAACGTGCCAAAGTCTCGAAGACGTTCTTCAACTTCGTTCTTAACGTGAGAATTATATCGTTGGATACGAACTGGAATTTAATTGTAATTGGTTATTTGATTTAATTTTGTTGTTAGAATTTTTCTTAAATTTCTGGGTATTTATTATCAGTGTTCGATGAGATGAGGGAAAGAAGAAATATAATGATATATTGTAATATAATTTGTTTCAAACTTGAGATTGTCAATGCAAATCGTTTATAAAAATGACGAAGTAATGGAATAAGAAATTCTTCTATGCATGGATTATTCTTCTAATCTGATTTTATTTAATTGTCATATTTATTCGGATCATTTTTATTTAATCTATTTAATATTTGGAAAAGATGGAAAAAACGTTTTATCACTAAGAATGAAAGTATAAAAACATATGAAAGTAATTCATTTTATTCAAAATTCATTTTGAGAAAGAAGATGGAACGAAGCGAGGAAATGGGGAACGTTTCATGAAGAATGAACAATTAATAAATTTCGTTTTAAATAAATGGCGATTATGAATTTTTGAAAAATCGAATTCTAATAATTATCGATGAGAAATAATCATGGAAAAGGGAGAACAAAAAGAGAAACAATTCTGGCATCTTTGTCGATCATAAATAAATGTTAGATTCGGCCTAGCTGGGTAAGAACCAAGAAAATTAGATATCGTGCATGAGATTATTTCGAGCGTGTGTGCGTGATCGTGCTATGAGATCAAGGCTGTTAAACCGCTATACGAGAGGTAATTATCGTCCCTCGCTGTGAACTAATGAATTCGAGATGCCGAAATAACCGACTTGACAACAACAGAATCAATTATTGTTGGAAATATTCTTCTCGAGGATTTCAGAGACCCTTAAGATTCCATCCACTATGATATCACGCGTCCTGGATTCTTCTTTGCGTACACGAATTTTTTAAAGTGTAAGAGAAATTTTAAAATTTTGTTTGTACAAAATGTAATGTAATCACGTATCGTGATTGTTAAAGAATTTTAAAGAAGAATGGATTCTTATTTGAGTAGAAATCAAGTAGAAATTTTTTTCTCTGGAAGAAAAATTCCATTTGATCATAAGAAGCATAAGGCCACGTGCCGAATTTAAAATTCTTTAAAAATAGATTTCTCTTCGTGTACACAAAGAATAAAGATCAAAAGACTGACTATAAGATATAAGATTTTTCAAAATCATAGTCCTTAAGAAAAATATATTCTTATTGATGCTTATTTGCATTAATTATCATAAAAGAGACAAAAGCAAAATTCTCTGAAAAATCAATGATGACATCAGTCTCTTGAATCTGAAACAGATATTTCTCATTCTCGAAACAAATTCCTATTGTTTATAATATTTAATTTTAATCCAGAATCCTCGAAAGAAAAATAAATTCCATCCCTTGGTTTTATCCTTTGATCTTCGTTCTTCATCTTCCATTTTACTATTCCAAATATCTTTTCGTATACAAAAACGCATCGTTAGAGAATCCCAGAAATCCATAAATTCCTCATCAATGCATTTTTAAGATTAAATCCTTGAATATTAACGATCCCCCAAAGATTCTAAAATCCTCTTTATACATAAATATTCAAAACTTTTAAGAACAGAAAATGCAAATTTTATTCCTTCAACAATCCAATATTCTAGAAAAGCTTTCCAAAAAATATCCAAAATATCTTTCCCCTCCAAAAAAAATTAATTCAATCTTCTTCATCTCCAATATAATCCTCGGAAAATTCCATAAGAACTAGATTATTCCTCGTTTCACAAATGTTCAATAATCATCCCTCCCTCCCCAATCACATCGTCTCATTCTCCAAAAGGATTCTCCAAAAGGATTCTCCAAGAAGAACAAATTCCTGTTTTCGCTCGAACCACATCATTTACTCTCCTCCATCGACTTATTCGCACGACCTTGAATCAACGACGACCGAACCACCTGAACCGCCATCAAGAAGAAGACAAACTGCCAAACATCTCGTCTGCCGGGGGAGAGGGGAAAGGAGAAAAAGAAACGGGCAATGATTCATCCTGTGCGTGCGTGTTCGGGCCCTTCTTTTCATCTTCCACCCACAGCGGCCAACCGGTGCTCGATCGTCGACGACTGTTTGTGCCCGTTCGGCCAGGCGTCGATGGAGG